TATTATTATTATTTTTTGTCACAAAAGACCTTTTCTTGGGCAAAGTAGGGTGCTGTCAAGTACTTTACCAGCCTAGCTACTTGCTAGACTTTTCATTAAAGCCATGACTGAGGCTAAATGTTGAACAGGTTATGATAAAAATGCATGAAAGACAAGTGGAAAAGCCTTATTAGTGTTTGAAAGTTCCCAGAATAGCAGATAGTCCCATCAGCTATTAGTGGCAAGTCCTTCTAGCAAATCAGGAAACAAAATTCTCTCCTGGAAATTGGTGCTAAGAAAATTATTGAACTGTGCTAATGATTGCTGTTAAACTAGATATCAACTTGTAATAGTATTGGAAATTAAGCCTTTTGATTAACCCCTTGATGTCTAAGCCCTATTGAGGCCATTTATTTGTAAACAAAATTGACAAAACAAACAACAGTGGACAGTGCATGTACCTGTGCCAATTGGTTAACAGGCATTGGTTACTGCCCTGTCATTTTTGTTTGGTAGCCAAAGTGAGTCCCTTTGCCACACACACTCTTCACCTATTCGTGTCCATCCAGCTCTTAAATCTGTGTGGACATAACTTACAGATTTGTAATATATTGGTAATTTAGTCATTATGAATGATACAGGTACTTCAGTTTTACTGATAAGGTTAAAAGCATTGCTTATCATTACATATTGTGCTGAGGTAGACAGGAAAACCTGTAATTTCTTTTGAAAGTTACTGTTAACCTATTGCCGCCATGGAAAATGAACAAAAAATGGGGAAAATGCTGTGCCTGTTTTCTATATTTTTTGTGAAATGTTTGCCCATAGATGGCTCTGCTAGTGCCTGATTTGAAATGGCGGGAAAAACGTATTTTTCAGTAGTGTCATGAATATCAATGGTGTTATTTTTATTATAAACATTATTGTTATAATGTTTTATAACATTAGTAACAGCAAAATAAGATAATGTAAAATATTTTGTAAATAAAAAAAAAAGGGTGAACAGGCGAGACAGGCGGTACTCGTAACTGGCTCATTGGTGATTTAGTACAAGTGTAGCCATCTGTGTGTGAAAACAATCCAACAAGTAATCTCATAGTGGGCATGGCATGCCCGTTGGGAATGGGTTAACTATACATTTTATTATTTTATTCAATTTAATGTTAAGTTCTAGTGGTTAGCAAATAAGGCAATAGGAGTGAAAATACCAGTTTTCAATCAACTTCCAGATGATAGCAGTTGTAATTTAAGGGCAATCTCTACTGGACAGTCCTTTGAGTTGCTTTCTGCCTCCCCTCAGACTAGAAGAGAAGCACCATCACAATGTGGAAAGCTCAAGCTGGCCATCAGATTGTCATTGACAATGGTAACGATGACGACGATTGGGAGACTGATGCAGATTATGTCAACAACATGACTGAAGAAGAGCAAAGATATGGCACAAAACGGGACATCGGTGCTATTAAGTAAGTTTTAAAATTTCCCTAAATGTGAAACAAATTCCAGTGTCTTGCTTATGCATCTGTATAAGAAATTACTAACATTATATTGAATATTTTGTATAACAAGTAGCAGTAAAAATTGCTATTATATACTGAATGTAGTGAATTTTAGGAGAAACAAATTCTTTATAAATGTTTTTTTTTTTTTTATAGGTGTATCACTCAGGGTGTAATAATATAGTGATTACTGTAGGCTAGTTTGTTTAGTGCTTCATATCCTCCCAGAGCTGGCTTGCCTAGTGCAGAAGAGGGATCCACTTTGTGTGTAAGCCTCATTTGCCAGTTCATAGTGTTACCGTTACCGAGGCATTTGCCTCTTCTCTAGGTCACCCATGGAAACTTAAATATTTTGCAGTCCCTTACTAAGCTGTAGAGGTTCTCAGACTAGCAGGAAACCCCAGAGGTGCAGAGCCACAGACATGACCCAACTCCTGTCTGCTTCTTCAAAAGACCTGCTGGTACTGCATCAGTCATGGGGGGATGCTTTGGGGTCAGTTCCCTGCCCACCCAAGAAATATATTCATGGGGAAGGCATCCACTGACCCATGGGTAGGAAATAAGTGACACCCACCTCTTTTAACTAGTTACACCAAAATGATGGTCACTGCCTCTAAGGGCTAGCCATAACCATCTCTAGTAAACTTAAGGTTGAATAATGATATTGAGAATGAAGCACTCCTTTGGCTTCAAGACTCCTTTCCATGGATGCTTTTGCTGACATGAAAGAGATGTTTTATGCCAAACTAGCTTCCACTGGCCACAAGATATTTGCTGATCCCCATGGCTTAGAAACTGATACCATTAGTGAGTCAGCTTCTTTTTGTGGGACTGTGGAAGTTTTCAGAACTGAGCATTGTTGACTTCAAGTACCAGTACTCTGACCTCTTTTGCTTGACCTGATACATTGAGGCAGGAAATGTGGCCTAAGAGATTAACACATCCTTGTTTACAGTTGTTGGAAGGTCCTATGTAACTAAAAGGATTTCTGAAGTCAACCAGTTCCTAAAAGCTCAATGACT